TCATATGTAAAGTTATGTGACCTGACACTTTTGACACATTTTTGTGTCCTGAAACTTTTTAATGTGACAACAGGTATCAAATACATGTTGAGAGCATGCTGTAAATTGAGGAGAATCAATAAAGCGTTCTAGACCCTTCTCTGTTTTTAAATGATAAAGTCTTGCACTAAGGCAATGATGCTGAATTTGTTTAGGGTAAGGGTAGGTAAAAGTAATCAGTTGCGTATATAAGGTATTCCTTTGTATTGATAATACAGTAAAAGACCCTATAAAAACATCTGAGCAAAAATAAGGTGTTGAGCATTTTCATGATCTGATTCTTTTTTATTTATTAATTGCGTTTTAAATTCAGGTCCTAAGGTGTGCTTCTGAAGTTGTTCCAGCATCAGAGAGGAGACTCTAGATGCAGGGTGACAGAGAATAGATCACAGACTGATTGGGATGACAGTTCTGTGCCAAGGATGGCTGACAGCTGTTTAAGTTAAGCAGCAGATCTTGGGTACCGGCAAATTATGGGAGCTGTATTTTCCTGTATTCCAGGGCCTCATGTTAGACAAATTCTCTGCCTCTTTAATTTCTGTGTGTCTCTAAACAGCCAAGCAGTATGGACTTGACTTTCTATGTAAATTGCAAGCCAAATTCAGACCTGGAAGAAGATAACATGTTGCAGTGGATTTCAGCAAAACTATTTCTAGTTTGTCTAGCTCTTAATTTCACTCCTCTTGCTCATAACATTGATAACTTCATAAAGCAGGCTAATTAGTTCAGAGACTAAACAAATTGCAGAGAAACCAATAGCTTCTTCAAAATGAGAATAGCTCTCCAGGACATGATCTGGTCAACTGATTATGCAGAGGCTTCATGACTTCAGAAAAAATCGGGTGATGGGCAGTGAAACCCACGGCACATTTTTATTCTCATGGCAGGCTTTTCCTTTGTGAACTGCCAGAGTTATCTTACAGGACTTTCCTGTCCTGCTCTTGGGATTCTTATCAGTTACTGATTGTGTAGTGCAGATTAAAGGAGTTGTTGATATTTAGCAAAAAAAAAAATCATTCTTGGCCAGCACCATATGTGAGTACTTCTGCAAAGTGTCCCACTTTCTGCATTTCTCCTTTGCCTTTGACAGCAGGAAGGTACTTGAGTTACATACACGGTGACTAGCCCCTGTACCCTGGAGACCTTGAAACAAGAAAATAATGCTACATATTAGAAATTCCACCCCAACAACCATTCACAACTTAACCCTTTGTACTCAAGACTTGTAAAGTCAAGGGAACACTGACCAATTAGATAGATTTTGTTTGATAGATTTTTGTCTAAGCCAGTTTCTTGATATAAAGCAAAGAAAGGACCTGAGGGGTTTGATAGGAATGTCAGGTGATTAAATATATCTTCTTAATCTTTATTTCACCAAAGTTCTGTAAGTTCAGTTAGCATTTTGCAACATAAAAAGGTAAGAAAGATATTATTAAAGGTGAAACTAAACCCAGAGTTTTATGCCCATGAGACCACACTTAGGCCAGAGTCCCCTCCAATTTCATTAGAAAAAAGAAGCAAGTTACAACAGTGTAGGCTAAGATGGCATGAGCCAGCACCAAAACCTTAACCCTGGCCCTGTCTTCAAACTGTCCACTCCAGGCTCTTCCTACCTGCCACTTTCTGTCATAGTTCACAACCCTAGACATTTAGCCATAGCTCTGGAGCTGACAAAATATCCTGAGACTCTTCTGGCTTACCCCGACAGTGCATCACTCCAGTGTGTGCTGGGGAGGCTAAAGGCATACTGTAGTATGCCAAAGCATCACTGAAGTCTGGGAGATACCTGGGCATTAACCCTCTGTCTCAGTCTGTAGGCATTTTAAAAGTGGAGTGCTATTTGATATTTAGGAGATCAAAAATGTGTCCTCTCAATTCCTCAGAGCACCCCAGTTTGCTATGCTTAGCAGATAAGGAACATGTCCTGTCTCTAGAACTGCACCAAGGCTGCAGAGCTAGCAATGAAAAATACTGCCCAGGATTCCTGCTTAAAGGGTAAATTTTCAGCATATGTTAGGTAAGTTTGTGAGTTTAGAATTTTCATTTCATTGTAGCCAATTGAGGAGGAAGTATCAACAATTATGTTCCTTCTCAATATAGCCATAATTATGCGTACTTTAATGTCCTTTTCAGAATCAGTGTAGTATCTGGGGACTTCATGTGTATGAAACAGACTCCCAGTCTTTAATAAACTTTTACAAGATGCTTTTTTTTTTTTTTGTTTCTTATGATTTCCAGGTGCTCATGGGGAAATTTTCATAAATGCTTTTGTTTTACTATTGTAAGCAAAATAATTGTGTGTATGACGATGCAAAGTAACCTGCAGATATTTTTGGAGCTTCTGCATTCGGTAGTCCCATGCATCTCCGGATGTCATTTATCAAAACCAGATGTTCTTTACATATCACTGTGTTTTGTATCAATGTCTATTTAAAGTTAAACTGAGAGCAACCAATGCCAAAGGAGCATGCTTTGATTTAAATAAATCAAAGCATATCACAGTCATAGTAATTAATAATCCAAGACTGGAGCAAACATGACAAGTAGGAGAAATCCATTCAGACAGGATTGGTTTTGTTTCTTGCTGCTTTTCTAAAGCTTATTAGAAGCAGCAAGTCTTTGATTAAGCTAGACCTACTTTCACAAAAATCCCTCAGCAACAGTAGGTATTGAGAGGCTCAGTCCTGACAGCCTGAGCAAACAGCCTGTATAAATCATTGCTGGGGTTTTGATTATAATGGTCCCTTATTTATGACAGGTCATAGAAAGCAATTCTTTACTTGAATCATTCTCAGCATTAAATGGAAAAGCTCCTGCTAATGATACAGGATGAGGTCTTGAGCTGTAATTATGTTACTTGCATCATGTATCAGGCAGATATATTAATGAACTACAACTCAAGCAATTATAGCTGCAGGAAAGGGAGCCATAGATTATAAAACAAACTTCAAATCGTACTGGGGCAGCAAAATCAATGTCTGGTTTTATTCCTGTTAAAGTTAGTATACAGTTAGTATTCTGTGTGCGTTCAACTGGAGGGCATCTTCTTCCCATCTTCTCCAGCATACATTTACCGCAGTACCAAGCCTGATCTGCCTAAACTACATCATCTGAAGAGGTATCACTGGAAGAGACAAAAGTTCAGAAACATATTTAGGAAAAGACAAAAGAATGTTCTGTTGGGAGGCCCCATCTTCAACACAGGTGTAAGGGAATCACTGGAGAAGAAAGTTACTGGTCAAAAATAGCAGAAGATTCATTCAGCTTTATTTTTGGAGTAGGTGAGAAAGTCCCACCAAAATTTTCATCTCTTTCTACTGAGAAATTTTTCTGCAATAGTGAAAGATATACTGCACATTTTTAGGGAGAGAACACATTTTCTTATTGCAAAGCTAATGAGTATTTGTTATATTGGCGTGGTTTAAACCCAGTCAGCCACACAGTTTCTACTACTGGGGCTCCCTGCTCCCAGAGGGATGGGGAGGAGAATCGAAAGAATGTTAACTCCCACGGGTTGAGATAAGAACAGTCCAGTAACTAAGGTATAACACAAATCACTGCTGCTACCACCAATAATAATAATAATAATAGAAATAACAAGGGAAGAGAATGCAATACCACCTGCCGAAATGAGCCCCACCGAGAAGAGAGTGTCCTTCTGGGTAAATCCCAGTTACCACCCCTTGGCATGACATGCTGTGGTATGGAATACCTCTTTGGTCAGTTTGGGTCAGGTGTCCTGTCTCTGCTTCCTCCTGGCTTCCCCTCCTCCCTGGCAGAGCATGAAACTCAGAAAGTCCTTGGTCAGAGTAACCATGACTTAGCAACAGCTAAAAACGTCGGTGTTATCAGCTCTATTCCCAGGCTGAAAGTCAAAACACAGAGCTGCACCAGCTACTAAGAAGGAGAAAAAATGACTGCTACTGCTAAACCCAGGACATCTATGAAACTCTAGAGTGACTATTCCATTGTCCTGTACATGTAATTATTTTACAACTATTTATATATATATTGTTAGATACTTGTAAACATTCCCCAGTGATTTGAAAGAGCAGTACAATGACACCACTGACATTTTATCAGTATATTTGAAGACTGGCTTTAGGAAAAACCTCACATCCACAGGACAAAATCCTGCCCTCTGCTGCATGCAGAAAAGGGCTCAATGGGATGAAAGCATGCAGGTAGTAATGTGGAGGCATTAAGCAATAAGTTTGTCACATTTTCTACAAGTAGTAGGCTGATCATGTTTTCTACAGTATGTTATTCCTTTGCCTTTCCCTCCTTCATTAGCTGTAAACCAATCCATTCATTCTGAACATTGGAAAACAAACATTTTATGTTTTCAGAGAGGATGGATCAATCAGAAACATTCATAAAATCTAGGATGGTATAATATTAGTGAAAGCATCAGTATAAACCTAAGGAAAAATAATTGTGGTTAAAACTCTTTTTCCATCCAAAATGTATTTTTTAGTTTATCCAAACAATTACACAAATTGAAAAGGCAAAAAAAATGGGGAGTTTTGCCCGTGTTTTCAGATATTTTTCAATGCTTCACCTTTTGTTCAAAAAGGACTTTTCTACCTGATGCCAGCTCCAGTCTTGACTGGCAAGCATTTTTTTCCACCCCCATTCTCTTTTAACAGCAGCTCTGTGCTCATTTGCAGATCCAGAGCTGAAATCATTGGAAACAAGAGTCATTAGGTAAAGTGTTGGTAAAGTTTAGGTTTAAGCTTGTTATATCCATACCCACTAAAGCAGAAATTAAAACTATTAAAGAAAGTATAACTGCACTTAGTTTAACTAATTACTCAAATGGCAAATTTGATGCATTTATTTGTTTTCCCCTTACCACTGAGATGGCAGTGCCTCTCTGTATTAGAGATTTCAGCCATTCAGGGACTGCCATGATGTTGTATCTCTCAACACAGCGTGTACCATCATGTGGTGTGGACGGGTGCATGTGGTCTGCCTTCTCTCTGATGACTGGACAGGCACCCAAGGGAATAGGGGAACAGACAGCAACTTCTCTCTTCTTTTAATCAGATGCTCAGAGGTCTGGTACTTATTATCTTCTGAAGAAAGGGCACAGGTTTTTGCAAGCAACTTGAGCTCATATCAGCACTGAGATCACAGCACATGATGTAAATGGTCAGTTCAGAAAGACAAATTGGCTTGAAAAAAAAACGGATGTGATGCTCTGACCCTCTGGCTTAATTACTTTCTGCTCCCAGTCGACAGGCTGGAGTTTAGCAGGCAAAACATGAAGCAAGGCAAATGAAGATGCTTCATGTGAGAGGATGACGTAGCCCCATCTAAGGCAGGAGATGATATATTGCTTGCTGAGCTGACTGTGAAAACGACGGCGCCTGAATAAAGCTGTGAATCACCCCCCTGTCTCACACCACTTCCACTGCAGTAGCTTCCCTTCTGAAAAAAAAAATGTGGCAAATCCTTTGATTGCAAATATTGGAAATACACGTCAGTCCTGGCAACTTTTTGGACATACTGTAGGTTAGTAGGTACACGTCCCCCTAGTCCTACTGGGGAGGCTGCTCCCTTGTAGTGGTGCTGGATGGGACCATATCCACCACTTAATGAAAGTGAAAAAATATATTCATCCTTGTTCTGGTTTTGATGCATTCCAGAACGTGAAATGACTGATAATTTTCTGAGCAGAAAAAAAAATGTGTGTGACATTTAGCTTGATTAATGGCTAATGCTGAATACGAGTGCTGCTGGTAGTGTGACTAGAGCTAGGTTTGACTCTGCCTTCAGGGCTTGCGGTGTAGGCTCTCAAACCAGGAGAAATAGCTGAAGGAAAAACTATGAAGTTAATTGAGCCAGCCCTGGCTGTATCAGGAAACCTGATGCACTTTACTTTTTTGGTGGATGCATTGAGTAAAAAAATATATTCCTAAAGGCTTAACATGCATATTTGTTTTCTCCATTTTTCTCCATGAGGTGCAACTTCCCAGTACTTGAGCTCATCATCATTTAATTTAGTTAAAATACTTGGGGGATAAAACAGGATAGCGGAGGTATCTCTAGCTGCAATCTACTTAGTCTTGTCTAGTCTACTGAAATCAAAAATGTGGTTCACTTTATGTTTCACTTAAATTCTGAAAAATGGGGTGAGGGGGAAGAAAAAAAAAACCCTAGAGAACAGGTGAAAAACATGCACTTTATAAAGTGTGTGTGGGAACTATATAGATATAAGTCAATAGAGTGCCTGTGCTGCTCTGCAGTTTGAGAGGTGTTCTGCACTCCATGAGGTAGAAAAAAATACATTTGTTTATCTGTAAACTGTGTACCTTGGACAAAAACAATGTGATTTGAAATGGCAGTGAAATACACTTTTCTACCCTAAATTAGCAAGTGAACTCTGTGAACATGAAATAGACTGCCAAATTCACAAAGCCCTACATACTGCAAAGTTTGCCCACCTATAAATTGAGCTCCAGAACCATGTAAAGGGGCTCCTTCCATGGTGCAGTGTAAGCCCAAGATCTGGGGATTGTATTAGAATTATTAATATTTACTGAATATATGACAGAGATAACTAATGGAAATTTGGTAGCCTCCATCAGTTATGAGGTTTCAAAAAAAATCTAGAAGAAATGATGTTTGACCATTGGCCTGTTGACAGAGATTTGGCTGAATTTTCAGACCCTGAACGCATGACCATCCTAGAAGCCCCTTAGGAGGAGAGTTAAGTTTAGTACTATAAAACAACTAACTTAGGCTTAAGGAAGTCACAGCCTTAGCGGTACAGCTCTAAAATCCAGCAAGCCATGAATCAAACTGATAAATCATTAAAAATGCGGCAAAGATTTATAACTATAAACTTACTGCCTCCCGTCTGATGATGGTACCATCACACTTGATGCAAGAGAGAGTGAAATCATACTTTCAGCCCTGGGAGCCTCACAGCTTGTTGCACAGGGGGCTCTTTCTCTGCTCACACAACTGCTGCATGCTTCTGTAGTCACAACTGCAAGCTAAATGTGGTGAACCCTCTTTAGCAGGCATTTTGCCCATAGGCTTTCTTGCTTTAACATGGGACTGAGATGCATGTTTTTATATGCTGTGAATTCTTTGGTGGAAGTCAGCAAAGACTGTATTTCTCCCTTTATTTCACTGAAGGAATATCAAAAAGGACTGGAAGAAACTGTTACAGACTGATTCCCCTTCAGGTCTTATAGCCCTACATGGCTAGAAGGAGCTGAATCCAGTGGTTTGGAAGAAACGACAGAATGCTTTTGTTGTTTAAAAACATGTTGACTGCCACGGTGAAGTCTAGCTCAGAACTCACTATTTAAACATGCTTTTTTTTAATGTCTTCACAAAGTCACTACACATATACTGGAGCTTTTGGCAGTGAAGAACTGCAGGTAGAAGAGGTCTGAGATTTTGACAGCAGCTAATCCGTGGTCTTAATTTAAAACATGATCAAAGATACAATTTAGAATAAATAAAATTGCTGCAGCAAAGCCATGAAGTACAAGGAATGGTGCCCCAAAGAGGTGCAAGGCCTGAGCCAGTCTTTCAATAGTTTCTTAAACAATTGATCATGCATATAAATGTAATATTACCAAAAAGCTGTTTGATTTCAAATTCTTTCAAAAGCATGATTGTCCATGGATGCTTAAATTTTTGTTCCAAAGTTACATTAAGAAAATGTATAATTAAATAGTTTAATCATGATAGGTAGTGGAAAATAAGCAAATGAGCATAAGGAAAATGAGCAAAAAAGCCACCATCACGTGTTTTGTCCCCTCTCACAAATTGTCTGTTTTTCAAACTCTTACTTGCAGATGTTAGTTGTTGTTCCCATTTAAGACATTTGACTGCTAAACTGGAAAATCCCAGCATTTGAAGCCCCAGCCATGTTTATCCTTATGCCAATAATGCAAAATGGCATATCGGATGCAAGTAGGAAGAAGAGTCTTCAAAGTTGTGGGACTGTATAAATGATGCCATGGCGCTAAAGGACAAGGACCACTAAGAGGACTTTTCTTATATCCCTCCAAGTTTCTCCTTCTGAGTTCAAAAAGCCACAAATTAGTGGAACTTGCCAGCTTAGTGAGTAAATTGGCAAAATGAAAGACATTTGTTGAATGCTGCCTCTGTGGTAGAGGGAAAATAAGTGTGATAGAACAGTCAATGTGAATGATCACAGGAGAAATTTAATATATGTGACTCCATGTTTTTGGCAAGTTATTCATTGCAGCAGTGAAATACATACTCCACAGTTACAGTCTCAAGTCTTATCGACTTCTTTTATCACCAGTAATAAAGGCAAAGCAGTGGCCCAAGTTATTTTATTTTTTTATTTTTTTGTGTCACTATTCCCAGGAGAAAAAAAGAAACATGCTGCTTTTGGGAATTAAATAGGGGTATCATGCCTCGAGCAAGGGAATGAATTATTTGTTCCAAGTTGTTTACTGCAATTTTGACATACACATATCCTGTAGAAATCTTGAATAGGAAAGCAAAATGGTGTCATGGTTTAAACCCAGCCACACAGCTTGTTCACTCACTCCCCCCTTCCTCTCTCTTTCTTTCCTTCCCCCCCCCCCCGGAGGGATGGGGAGGAGAATCGAAAGAGTGTAACTCCCGTGGGTTGAGATAAGAACAGTCCAGTAACTAAGGTATAACACAAATCACTACTGCTACCACCAGTGATAATAATGAGAAGGGAAATAACAAGGGAAGAGAATACGATACCACCTGCCGAAATGAGCCCGACTCCGAAAGAGAGCCTGTGCCCTTCCGGGTAACTCCCAGTTACCTCCCCAGGCATGACATGCTGTGGTATGGAATACCTCTTTGGCTAGCTTGGGTCAGGTGTCCTGTCTCTACCTCCTCCCAGCCTCTCGCCTCCCTGGCAGAGCATGAGACTCACAAAGTCCTTGGTCAGAGTAAACATTACTTAGCAACAACTAAAAATATCAGTGTTATCAGCTCTGTTCCTAGGCCGAAAGTCAAAACACAGAGCTGCACCAGCTACTAAGGAGAAAAAATTGACTGCTACTGCTGAACCCAGGACAAATGGGAAGCGCATCAGAAAATTTATCAGATGCCTCTGTGGGAAAGTTGGAGAATGGACTGATTTTCCATCTACTCTATGAGTACCTCTGTTTGCTCTATGAGATCGAGTTTTGCAGGTTCCCTCTAAAATCAATACCAAAAGAGAAGATGACAGAAGTCCTTTCCCTGCAGCACATCTGGCTGTAGCTAGACCACTTTATAATACATGACAGTGGTATTGTAAAATTATGTGATTTCACGTCTGTTGGGGTGTAAAAAAAAAAAGGCAAACAGAAGAAAATCCAATCACACGAAATTTCTTCTTTTCTTAATTTTTCTCCAGAGCATGGAGACTGTCTGCACTGGAGATAATTAAAAGCAGGCTTTTCATGAGCCCTGGTTCTGTCCAAATTCTTCCCTTGACCTAAGACTAATTAAGGAGGGGTTATGATTTCTATTTCTATTTATCTTTCTATTTATCTTTCTCTTTCTATTTATCTTTATCACCTTTATCTTCATCTTTATAAATTGTTGTTGTTATTATTTACAGGACGAGCTACACCTGTTGTATAAATGGTCCTTTTCCTGAAAGGCCAGAGCAGGCTGACAAGTTGTTTCCTCCTTTTGTACTGACAGCAGCAGATGGCAGAAAAAAGATCTTCCTTCAACACCACAAGCCCAGAGCAGCTCTTGCCCTGTCCTTGCACGTAACAAGAACATACAACATCTGAATGTTGGGGAAAACAGCACACTTGAGCTTATTTTGAAGCTCTTTTATTAACGTTTGCAGCTCGCTAGTTGCTCTGCTTCCATCCCCTATAAAGTTTTCAAAAATTATCGCTGACCGAGGACAGCAGCATCTCATCTCCTATAAAGAGCCACACTTAACAGAAATGTTTCCATCCAGCATGTCCTATTTTCCCTTGCCACCCAGTTTCAGTTTAATGAAGCTGACATGTTTTCAATTAGTTTTGTACTGCACATTTGAAAATATAACCATATATTTCAAATTAGGCAAATGTCACTCCAGTCTTCAAAAAGGGCAAGAAGGAGGACCTGGGTAACTATAGACCGGTCAGCCTCACCTCCATCCCTGGGAAAGTGATGGAACACCTTGTCCTTGGTGCCATTTTAAGGCATATCAAGGATAAGAAGGTTATGAGGGGCAGTCAACATGGCTTCACCAAGGGGAAATCATGCTTGACCAATCTCTTAGCCTTTTGTGAGGAAATAACACGGTGGATGGATGATGGCAGAGCGGTGGATGTGGTCTACCTTGACTTCAGCAAAGCATTTGACACAGTCTCCCACAGCATCCTCACAGCTAAATTGAGGAAGTGTGGTCTGGATGATCAGGTAGTGAGGTGGACTGTGAACTGGCTGAAGGAGAGAAGCCAGAGAGTTGTAGTCTATGGGGCGGAGTCTAGTTGGAGGCCTGTATCTAGTGGAGTGCCTCAAGGGTCAGTACTGGGACCAGTATTATTTAATATATTCATCAACGATTTAGATGAGGGAATTGAGTGTACTATCAGCAAGTTTGCTGATGACACTAAGCTGGGAGGAGTGGCTGACAGGCCAGAAGGCTGTGCTGCCATCCAGCGAGACCTGGACAGGCTGGAGAGTTGGGCAGGGAATAACTTGATGAAATATAACAAGGGAAAGTGTAGAGTCCTGCATCTGGGCAGGAACAACCCCAGGTTCCAGTATAGGTTGGGGAACGACCTGCTAGAGAGCAGTGTAGGGGAGAGGGACCTGGGGGTCCTAGTGGACGACAGGGTGACCATGAGCCAACACTGTGCCCTTGTGGCTAAGAAGGCCAGTGGCATCCTGGGGTGTATTAGAAGGGGGGTGGTTAGTAGGTCGAGAGAGGTCCTCCTTCCCCTCTACTCTGCCCTGGTGAGACCCCATCTGGAATATTGTGTCCAGTTCTGGGCCCCTCAGTTCAAGAAGGACAGGGAGCTGCTGGAGAGAGTCCAGCGCAGGGCAACTAAGATGATTAAGGGAGTGGAGCATCTCCCTTATGAGGAAAGACTGAGGGAGCTGGGTCTCTATAGTTTGGAGAAGAGGAGACTGAGGGGTGACCTTATTAGTGTCTATAAATATATAAAGGGGGAATGTCACGAGGATGGAGCCAGGCTCTACTCAGTGGCAAACAATGATAGGACAAGGGGTAATGGGTGCAAACTGGAACACAAGAGGTTCCACTTAAACTTGAGAAGGAACTTCTTCTCAGTGAGGGTGATGGAACACTGGAACAGGCTGCCCAGGGAGGTTGTGGAGTCTCCTTCCCTGGAGACATTCAAAACCCGCCTGGACACATTGCTGTGTAACATTATCTAGGTGTTCCTGCTCCGGCAGGGGGATTGGACTAGATGATCTTTTGAGGTCCCTTCCAATTTCTAGCATACTGTGATACTGTGATACATGTAGAATTCAAGCTGAAATCCTGTTCACAGCAATGTGATTGGGTTTTCTTTCTTCCATGCAACTCATTTCCTTTTTTCCCAGCAGTCTGTCCTGCCATTCCTTGAAGTCCAACATTGCTGTGACAAGCCAGAAAGAAGTGAAATGCTTTTACACTACTTTATTTAGCTTGATGATTTGTTTTACAGGATGTCCAGGAGAATTACTGCCTTGCAAGTCACTGATGCTTCATCTCTAAATTCTGGCCATGCCCATGGCCAGTAACATACCCCAGAGCCATTTCCCAGGTTCATGGAGCACATCATTGCTCTTCTCCTTCTCCATAAGGTGCTGGAGAAGAACATGGAAAGACAGATTCCTATCTATCTGTGCCATTTGATCCTACTGCTCAGCCTTAGGCTTGCACATCCTTAAGGACTGTTTGAGACTGCCATGGGAATGGATGTCCATGCAGGAGAGGTCTGTCAAGTACTAGGCAAAAATCAGAGGTTCTCCACATTTTTTTCTCAGATATTTTTATTGTATATAAGCAGTGGAAACTGCTTGCATACCTCCTGTGGGGCCATGCCCTACACCTTCCCACCCCACATCCACCACCTTTGGTGTCATGAACGTGATGAGGCATGGTGGTAACTAGCTCCCCATCTCTCCCTAAAAATACCTACAGGGTTACATTTTCTAAGTGAAAAAGGGACTGAAGCTGAAACGTGCAGCATGCCAACTACTTTCTAAGCAGCCACAACACTTCTCTCCCCATCATCTTGCAGAAGGGGGTCTGTGCAGAGGAAGTCACGCCACAGCCCAAGGACCAGAGCAAGTGACAAAGTAAAAGATGCCTTAAGTATTCCTCCCTCCTCACTGAGCAAACTCATACTTTCCACTGAAGAAAAACGCAGAAGGATAACTGTGCTAGGAATCCACAAGCTCACTCCCCATCTGAGTGAGTGAATCCTGCCTTTAAACCAAGGCTTCCACCAGCAAGCTCCCTGCCGGATGTTGCTAGACACCGCTCCTTAATGAGACTGACGTGTATTTTTAATGTGGTAATCTTCTGGCTCTGGCAATTGTACAGACACAGAGACTACAAAAGAGTCACTTCAATGCAATGAGCTGCCAATGAGCCTCATGTCAAAAAGCCACTCTGCCACAAGGATGAAGACATTGCAAATAAACACTTCTGGGGAACTCTCTCTCCTTAAATAACACATTTATAGAGCATCCAGATGTTGGTTTAACACTTAACGATTGTGGGAGAAAACAAAGCATTAAGGGCTGTGTTTGGTTTGGTTTGAGTTGTCTTTTTTTTCTTTCTTCTCCTTGATCTCATATATTGAGTGTGTACAAACAGATATGGTCTAAAAAAAGTATAGGAAATCCATATATACAGAGGGATGAATAGATAGGTGTGTGCAAAGCTAGTTATTGGTCTGTGATAATGTTACTGGGTCCCTGTGAGAATGGAGGTAGAAGGATAACCCTGCTAGAAGTGTGGTCTGCAAAAGGGAGAGACATGTCTTTGCTTTACTTTGGGATGGTCACAATGAATCCATCTTACCAAATTTATTTCCAGACTGGTTGCAAGAAAAACAAGGGAGGTGGGGGGCAAATAACCCCCAGACCTCAGTAATGAGGTGCCAAATGTACTATAAGGAAATTTGAAAATTGAGGAGTAGGAACCAGATGAAGTTTTGTGGCTTTGATCAGGGCTTTGCAAATTGTACTGCAAGCTCGTCTGGTCCTCCAGGGGATGGG